ATTGAAGTTCATTTAGATTTTTATTAAGATTATTTAGGTTTACTTAGGATTAAATTGGATTTTATTAAAATTTGGATTTAAAAATTCTAGCTTCGACCTTTGTTTGTGGTTTTTTTCTATTATTGGTACTAAAGAAATATAGTATCAACAACCAGTAAAATCAACTTGAAAACTATCATTTGTTAAGTTATCAAAAGGAGCATTATGATTGTAACAACCTTTAAGACAATGTATCAAAAATAAAGACCTTCAAGAATAATATGTTTTTTTAAATTTTTTCTTTTTCAAATCTTTCCTTTTTAATATATGAAGAGCTAATCACATTTTCTTTTTAAATCCTATTTATGCTAGCTTTCTTTTAAATTATTTTTATATTGAGTTTTTTTTCTTGTCTTATTTTAATATTCAAATTTTTCCTCTTATTATTTTTATAATAATTTATATCTAATGTTTGTCTAAAATATACTTCCTAAAGAATGTAAAATATTCAATAAACAATAAGTATATTTCTAAAGTTAATAATCTTGGATATATATAGTTACTTAGATTAGAGGAGATAGATAGAAGAAAACATATTTGAGAATTTCTTTTAGAAAAGACTTTTAGAAACTTTATAGATATAAATTTTATTTTATGTGTATTTGTAAGTGATTGATAGATTAAAAACTTGGCCATCAAGTTGAGTACATGTTACATATTTTAGCTACTTATGATATAAATAGACTATGTAGTACATATATAGGAAACTTTTCTTGCAAATTAAATAAGTACCTTATAAATTAGACGTGTATTGGATGCCCTATAGAATGTCAACGTATAACTTTACTTAAATAGAATATTTAGTGGTAAGAATGAGACCTTCATCTTTCTTGTCAATTTTTTTTTTGTTTTTGATCTAATTTTAAGAATATGTAGTTTTTTAATCTTTGGAAATAGAAAATTCAATATAAATTAAAATTTTAATTTATTTTTTAATATATATATATATATATATATATATATTCATTTCTATCATCTTTCTTTAATATACGTTTCATTTCTTTATTTATATTCTTTGAGATCTTGGCCTTGAAATCTATCTTTTTTATGAAAGTTGAAGAGATATTTTAATTACTATTAATAATAAAGATGATTTAAAATAGATTTTATTTAGTTTTTTTTATATTAGTCATAGTGCATAGAATTGAATAAAGGAATAATTTTGTTCAATTTGGAATTTAGGTCTTAATCATAACTTTCATTAACATTGATATTAAACCTTATTGATTTTTTTTATTATCAAGATAAAAAATTGAAATTAGGAATATGAATATCTAACAAAATTATATATTCCACATTTCATTGATTTTATATTCTACCTTCAAGTCACATGCGTTGGAAAAAAGACCACAACCATTTCTAATGTTATTTTCTTATTTCATAGTGTAAGCTCTATTTATTATTTAATTTATATATTTATATTACCAATAAAAGAATCCACAAAGTTTGATTGTCTTGATTATGCTTAAGAAGTAATTCTCTTAATATCAATTTGCCCACCATAATCTTGTCTTGGAACTGCTACAACATCTAATAGATATGACATCTTAATGTGGTTAAATACTCTTGAAATATTATCATCCTAATATTATATTTAAATTAGCCAAATTAAGTTTTTGTAACCTCACTTAAATTTTTTGTTTTACCATCTTTTTTCATGATTCTCTCATATCCCTCTATTCAAAGTACTATATTAGCTTGCTTCTATTTAGATATAGTCTATTAGCTCTAATCTATCTACATTAAAAATATACAATCTATCATTTTAATGAAATATGAATTTTAAAAGACTCTTTTTCTATTTTTATCTCTAAATTGGGTATAGTGAACTGTTCCATCATTTTTAAATCAAACAACTTTGTACCAATCTTCAATAATTGAGCATTTGTGCCAATTAGCAAAGTCCAAATGCACTTAACAGTAATGATGTAATATATATTGCTTCTTGGTCTTTGGCATTGCTTATAATTTGTCTATTTTGAATATATTTCGCACCAAATTAGCACACATGGCTATGTTGGCAATATAATCAAAGCTTACAAAAGCTTCAACTGCAACATCTACCTTACTTGCTATAATATTGCAAATAACTTTTTGTTTATTGGAAGAAGAAGAAACTTAAGATCAATCCGCTTTGATAACAAAAAGTCTTAAATACACTTTTTGCAAATGAAACCAACTATTGTAGAGCTAATACTTAGTTGAATTGACACCTTATACATTAAAAGCCTTTGTTCCAATAGTTGTACAATTGCATTTTTTTTTTTTTGTCTTATGTAACAATCTCCTTAATATTGATGAAACAATCTAAATAAGTACACTACATTTTTTTAGAGTAGTAGAGATCATACAAGCATGGATAAAAGAGTGCAATAACTCACTACAAGATCAAAGAAATAAAAGAAGTATAGTAATGAGTGAAGTAGTGCAATAATAAATAATAATGGAGGTCATAATGGTGTTTGCAATGAGTAAGAAGCAAGGAGTCAAAAAAATTGTCTTAATGAGTGGCACATGCATATATAGAGAATTCTTTCTCTACAAATTAGTCTTAAAATAAAATAAAATAAAAAAATAAAAACAAAACAAAACAAAACAAAACAAAAAAAATAAAATAAAATAAAAAAATCCTTAAGAATAAAGATTCTTGAACTATGTACTAATATTTGGATAATTTTAATTTTAATTTAAAGTTTATATAAATTTTCTATAAGCTATTTTATAACTTGTCTTTTTATAATGTTAATTTTGCTATGAAAGATTGTAAATTATCTAGTATTCACCTTTATTCATATAAATATATTTATGATATAATAAATTATAAAATTTATCTAATATTTTGGTTTAAATAATATTTTATTTTGAATATTTTATCAAACTATCTTTAAAGATTCTACTATTATAATTATAAAAAATAGGCACAAGATTATCAAACTACTTATAAGTTTTTATAACTACCACCTAACACACTAGTCTTTGATGATTAGTTGTTGCCATTATAAAAAATTATTTAAATTTAATAGTTCATTAAAAATTAATAACTTAAATTAAAATTCAAGACTTAGATTGATTAAAGTATAAATTTTATAAAACTCACATTGTTAAATTTGATTGATTACAATCCAAATTAATCATAAATTATTTTTTTACTTGAAATAAAATATTAGCTTAGTTTAAAATTATATAATTAAAGAACATATTTTCTAATATTAATTTTTATTTTAATACGATTGTAAAAATATAATTGTAACTTAGATCTTTAATTGACATTATATTGTACCAAAATTTTATAATCTTTTTGATTAATTCTTTAATAATCTATAATAAATTTTAATTTATTTAATTTTTACCTACTATAAAATGCTATTGTAAGTAGAATTATAATATGATTGTAGTTATTCAAAAAATACAAATTATTGACTTAAAATAGAAAACTATTGTATAGTCAATGTGATATTTATGATTTCTCCAAAATTACTTATTCTTAACTCTACGTTAATCTAACTATAAATAATCCATAAATGTAAGACAACCACTTTATATTTTATATTCTTCAAGTCTTAATATTTCTTATCTTTCTACTAAATTATATCAAATTTAAATTAAGAGCACACTATTTTTTATTATCATATAACAAACCTCTTTATTACTCACAATACCCTAATACTCAACTAAGATATGCAACATGCTTTTAATGCTTATTAGTTTGAGAAGAATCAATTGTCTTAAAAAATAATAATAAAAAAAAAAATAAAAAAAAATACACTAATTCTAAAATGGAGGATTAGAAAAAGTAAAAGATTGTACAATATTAGACTAAATGCACTTCTAGAAAACAAATGGAATCAAGTCATCATGCTAGTTCTTTGCAATGAATATTTACTAAAAGGTACTAAAATTAATAAATATATATCTCCCAAATTGCATACTTTAATTATTTTTTACTTGTGTAGTTTAACATTAATAGTAAAGATTTATTTAGACCTTTCTTTAGAGCTATTCATTTGTTCAATCTTCCAAGTTGCTTTGAAAAAATCATTCACCAACTATTTTGCATTAATTGTTATTAGTTTCTTTGACTTGCACATAAGGTTGTACTCATTAGAAATCATCCAGAATTGATTATTTGTTGATATCTTGGTAATGACTAATCATATACTTGTGATCAATGTCATATGTTGCCTTCATAATGACTAATGACTAATCAAACAAAGTTGGAAGCAACTTGTATGTTGGTTTCAAATGAAGATTTTGGACTTTTATGGTTGTTGAAATTTCGTTGGAATCAGATAATAAATTGATAAATATGACTTTCCTATGTTACAAATCATATGCTATAATTGATAGAGTTAGCTACGAAATTAACAAAAAAAATTCTTTGCAACTTCATTTCATCTAGGTAAAATAAATTCCAAACACCAAAGGAGTCACCCCTACATAAGATTAAGATTTTTGCAAATATCAGTAGTAATTAGGTTATTCTACTGACTAGGCTTACACTAACACATGTCAGGATTTTCAAAAAGGCTATGCATAAGACTTCAAAAATTCATTTAAAGTGTACGGCAGAGATGCTGATCAAGAGAACATTTATTACTAGTGTGAATCAAGAGAAAGCAGTTCTGAAAATATAATGAACTGAGACATGGACAAGTTCTTTTTCAAAAACAATCTCACACGGCATGAAAACTTCGATAATAGGAGGCTAATATTTCCTAAATATAGCATCAACTCAGCAGATAATATATCTCAGTGCCTCATGCAAGAGAATAATTATTGATAATCATACATTCCAGCCAACATGTTGAAGTTAGAAAAGCAGTGGTCAAACTAAAAGGAGTCCAAAGCAGCAAAGATCAAATGTTCAGACATTTATACGAGACAGAAAACGCACAAGCGACCAAAACGGAACCATTATATACAAAAAGGAGAGGGTATGAAATGACTCCAGAGATTTGCCATCCTACTGAATACGTCAGTCTTGCTGCACTGTTCGCTGTTCGGCCGAAGTCTCTGATCCAGCAGAAGTCACCATTAAGAAAATGACAACATCTCAAAGAAGAAATGAAAGAGACAAATTGATGAGTACAGATACTTCGTCTCATCACTGAGAACAAGAAATTGAGCCAGTTTAGACACAATTACAACAGTATTTACGCAGACCCCAAATAGACAACTAAGAATATTATGTCACTAGTACCAACAAGCATCGCCATCATATAGCTATTAACCAAAACCAAATCCTTCGCTGGCCTCATGTATTGCCAATAACAACCGATCCTGCAGCTGCTCTTTTGTAGCATAGTCAGGTAGATCCAGCTGATTAAAGCTGCACAAACCATGTCAGATAAAGAAACAAAATCAATAGGGAGACAGTTGTAGTTAACACTTAAAAAGTGACTCATTATCTGGGTATAAAATGACAAGTGCAGGAAGCTCTCTGTCAAACTTCTAAACTGCGCATCAAGCACCAAACATCTGTACAGATATAGAAACAGACTGCAAGGTAAATACATACCAAGTATGAGCAGAGGGTAGCCGTTCGGGTGCGCCGTAGGCTTTATGAATCTGAAACCGTTGCGGACCTGATATACCCTGCAACGCTCGAAAACCCTCCAATGGCACCTGCACAAAAATATCGTGAGTACAGTACACAACCACACCCAAGAACAATTGAAAAGCAAAAACGAAGTTAAGGCAATCGAGGACCAGTGCTTACTAAAAAGGTCAAAGACATCGTCACACATTTAATCGATATAAGCATGTAGATAAGTATTAAATATCTACCTTGGAAGTGCCGGTAATAAATTGCAAGAGACGAGCCATATCCTCCTTGCTGAAAGATCGCACAACATCCCAGAACCATTGAATTACTGGCGATGCTGCAGTGTATCCTGTATACTCGGTATTGGCCTTCAAATCCTCCACTGTCATTGAACATATCCAATTCATAAGAACTCGATTGATTCCAAGTGAACAGTTCGCATTTGCTAACTAAGCTAGAATGCTTAAATCTAAATCCAAAATTTTCGTTGAAAATATAAAAGTGAAATATGCCGGGCAGATTAATCTAGAAAATAGACCTATTGAACAAAAAGAAGAATTTAGATAAATTCGTACATCAGCGTGAACATCTTTCCACAAGGGTATCCTCCAGTCTCTCAGGATCATACACCAATGCTAAGCAAGGGCAAGCAATAACTCACAATCTATCTCTGGCAGGCCACTGATGAGAAGCTCCAGTTCCTTATCATTGAAGATAGAAATGAGATCTCGTGAAACAAGCTCGTTGAAACCTTCCATAAAAGCATTTATTTGCGGTCGAATAGCAGTAGTCAGGCGATGCTCTGCAACCTTGTCCACATATTCATGCTTATTTTCCTCTGTCACCCGAATGTCGCGACCACCAGGGATAAGTTCAAAGTCCGTCACCTGCAGAAAAAGGAATGAAAGGAAATTGATCAATACTTGTATTCAACAAAAAAATGGCAGAAATCTATGCAACTCTCAACTTATACCGCGTCTAAGTCACAGCATTCAATTAGAAAAAAAAAGAGGAGGTTGTTTTTCACACTTCCTCATGTTAACCCATATCTTCAGAAACATGAGTGAATCAAATTAAGACAGTACCTCAGTTTTCTCGTACAAAATATGCTTCTCTTCATCAGCATCCATGCTAAAAGTCAAGCCCACAATATCGCTGACGTCGTTCTGCAATAAAGACGTCAAATGAATCAGAAATAGCTAAACATCCAGCTTCTTCTACAATACTTCAATTTCGTTACAAGGTCGAGACCTAAAATATCTCAGAATTCTTCCTGTTCCACCATAATAAAAATTACACAAAATTCGTACAATTATTTTAAAGTCATAAAATAGCCAAGGTATCCTTAGAATAGCACCTACACAAGGTCAACAAGCGAGAAATATGACCTACATGATAGGGTTAGAGAAGAAGCTTTTCTGTGAAGAGGTTATCCCTACCTCTAATATCCACTTCAGATTCTTGAAGTAGTCTGGATCAATCGCCTCGATATCATGATAAGTAACTTTAACTCCTAGAATATGCTTATAAAAGGATCGTGTGAAGTACACGTCAAGCAATTGACCGTCGAACAATGCCTTGGCAACCTAGATACACAATTCATGGGTTATGCTTAGGTTAGTTAACTAACTTAGGTCGAGAATAATATCACTAGAATTGTCGTTAAAATTAAAACAGAATCAAAAAAACTTCACAGTCGAACAAAACCAAGTACACAAAATGCATGTACGCGTTCTGCGTGTCTTCAAAATACAAGAGCACAATGAAATTACTTACCACGCGACCAACGAACTTGAAGTATGACAGGTGCTCCGTTTGATAAACTGAATTTGGATTGGGTTGGAAGGTAGATTCATTCCCAACAGTCGTAAATAAGAGAGCCCCTTTGTCAAATGTCACGCGGGACAGCAACTGATACCACTCACGGGTTAAACCACCAGCATCAATACCTTCCTCGCCTTGAAATTGAACAGTGAGCCGACCCTTCAACTCATCAGGGGTTCTCATTCGCAGCTGATTATATGAGTCCTCAAGCACGTATGCCCGCCTAACACAGATTCGAAGTGGAGAGTAGTGTTGTTGTTCGTGTTGCTGTCGGATCCGAGATCGAAAATATGCCCGCTTATTATCGAAGTCGATCAATCGAGGGGTTTTCAACAGGAGGCAAAGGGACTTTTCAAGCAATCCTGGATTTTGACGAACAAAAGCGTTCAATAACCGCCGATGCTTATCAGCGAATCTTATGAACGTCATTGTCTTTTCGCTATCAGGTTTCCAAGGTTTTTGAAAATGTCGAGGAGACCGAGGGGAGGGAGGAGAAAGGATTAAATCGGTCGAAAGCGAAGCTTCTGCTTCCTTTATCTCACTTGCAGTTGCACTGTGAGGCTCATTTTGTCCAGACTGAGAGGCGCCTGACTTAAACTTTTCACACAATACAAAAAATGCTTCCACGAAAGGAAGCAGCTTCTGAGTCCCTGGTGGAAGAGGAGGAGCCACACTACCAGGGCTTGCGCCAACAACAGCCGCTGGTACAGAACTGGCACTCGAAGAGGGATCACCAAGGGCAGTGGAGTTGCCAAGCCGACCCTCGATCTTCCCAACACAAACACTCAATCCCTGCCATAACATCTCCAATCCTCCATTCAAATCTCTCACTAACAACAGGTCTTCCAGCTCTTTCTCTTCCCCACCAACGTCCTGTTCAGATGTATTCCCAATACCTGTGGTAAGAGCACTAAGTGCCTGGAGTACCCTAAGTATGGCTGCCCCAGCCATAGATGTGGTGCTCACAGCAACCGTCTCAGCATCACCTAATCGATGGAGTTCTTCCACAGCAGGACCACTGAGATGTCTAGCGGCCACGGCTAGTTCAGCCACAAATAGTCGGCGATGGTTTGGAGCTGCAGTCGCAAGTTTCTTCAACACCTCTGCGACGCGCGTGTAGGCAGTATCTGACAGTCTGCACAAAGTACGATAACCTTCCCACTTAGACAGACGTCTACGAGACTGAATATAAAGAATATACACAAATGGAAAAATAATTTAACATTTACTTAACGAAGAGTGATTCTATCACCCCTTCTAACCAAATTAAGGAAGGAAACTAATAAAAAACATGTTACTCACCCTTCCTGGGCAAGAAGTTTGCACAAATTCCGAAGCTCTGGTTCAGGCAGGTTTGCAAGAATAGTGCATGCGTTCCATTTGTGACCTGAACCTAAAGTTGAAGGCCCCACATCTTCCTCATTGGAACCTCTAGAATCAGGCAAGGCTTCAGATCTTGGAGCATCAGTGTCTACATCAGAAACAACCATGCTTGTAACTGTCTCCGCCTCTCCACCTGACGGTGCAGATGGTGTGCCAGAGGAGGAAGTCGTAGCCAATCCGATTGGAGCCGTTTCAGCAGGAGCTGCATCAGCACTTGCAGGTTGAGAACGACCCTCGTTAGCCTTCACCTTGGGCTTCAATTCTGCTTTAGCCCCAGCATTGCTTGTAACGACTTCAAGCAACCCCATTACCTGCAGTATCGATTTTAGGATTACCATTCTTTAAGCCGAAGTTCAAGAACCAAAAATCATGAAATGGCAAATAGAAACAACTTATTTTTATGTACATACCTGCTCCAAGTGAGCACTGCTTCGAGAGTAAAGAGGCTGATTCAACAGTTTCAGAAGCAAAATAAGGGGACTTTCTCCTTTCACCTTACGCTTCTCTGAGGCATCTGCAGGTATTTCAACAATCTTGGCTTTCCCTTTCTCCTTGCCTTTTTGAGGAGAATCCTCTGCAGGAGCTGCAGCAGGTTGTCTCAAAGGCTCCAGATACAAAAGCAGGTTAGCTACAGGGGCGTGGTTTCGTGCTAAGTAAGTCAAAATCTCAAGGACCCGTCGCGACACCAAAGGTGGTATTCCTGCAAAAATATCAATTGTCTTAAGTCAATACGACTCAGCGCAGCCACTTCACATTTTCAGTATAATATCGTTGCCAGATCCTTCAATCACACTAACACGAAACAAGATTTGCGAACATAAAGATGAAGAAAAGGACGACTTGTTAACCAGAAAAGCACTACAACTAAAAAAAACCAATGCTGATATTAATAAAATCATGGTGGAGGCAGACAGTACCATCTGACATCTGTGATCGTGCATACACGACATTCCATTGACAACCATACAAACGCTGAGATTGGGCACCATCAGCAGATATGCCCCCGATGAAAATGCCCTCTGCTTCCGGACGTAACATATCCAGCAAAAGTTGCAGCAACGTCAGGCGAGTCACACTATGAGCACACAAATTCAAAAGCAGTCGCTGTAGAAGGCCCTTCCCCAGGGGCTGTACACACAAGGACATTTCAGGTCAGTCACAGAATTAGAGATATGTTTAAGAATATGACTTGACTCGATGCCGGATGCAAAATTCATACACAACTAAAAGAAAAAATTATTATCAACCAAGACATACCTGTGCCAATCTTAGAAGACGCAGCAACGCTTTCAATGCAGCCGTGTCCACAAGAGGCTTGCCTTCAGCTTCCTTAATTTTTGAATTACTGCTAAGAGCAGCTGGTCTACGACCTACTACCAGTCCAGCCCCTGCTCCCAAACTACGACCTATAGTAGCTGTTCCAGCTCCTGTTCCGCTTCCTAGATTGTTGCGTCTGTGAGTGATACGATGCGTAGCACCTCCAAAAAGACCCCTTGCCTGATATTGGTTCATAGCTCTCTCACGTAGAAGTTGAGCTTCGGCTATAAGTGCCGGAGGTAAGGCAGATATAACAGCCTCTGAGGATGTTAGCAAAACCTGCAACACACAAGTCACCAAAATATACATAAGTTACCGGTATTCTCCCATGACTAAGTACGAAAGAAACATGATTCTGCTTAAAATCAAGCCCTATCAAGCAAAACTGAGGTCAGCACGGCAATCACTACTTGTGAATCTGACCTCTTCACGAAGTTCAGCTGGGAAGGTAGCAATAATGGATGCACTGTCCATATCCACTGGCTGACCCTCTATTGTCTGGGCTATCACGGCCCGCTGAGCACGCTGTTGCGCTAAAACTTCCGCCTGAATATCAGGGGGCAAGGCAGCAAGAAACTCGGGATCAATTTCTTCTGGTGGCGAAAGGGGTGCAGGATTTGGTGGTCTCACAGCTCGAGGATTTTGCTGAGATAGGACCTCTGCACGAAGGTCAGCAGGCAAAGCCTCCAGAAAGGTTGGATCAATGGAACTCATACTTGCATCAGGTCCCTCCCTATTTCTTTGTGAATTCTGACCTTCACCACTTGCAGCAGTTGGAGCGACCACTTGTTCTCCACTTTGGTTGCTTGGTCTTTCATCAACACTTTCTCCACCTTCCTGTTGCTGGCCAGTTGTACCTGCACCTTCCATGTCTTCATCAATATCCCCTCCCTGTTCAGATCTTCTAGAACTACTCCTAACCCTCTCAACTCCCCCAGAAGGCTGCAACTCACTAGCAACTAATCTCTCTGGCCCAGGATGACGATCTCCTTCATCGTGACCATCAGCGCTGCCTATCTCAACCTCCAAACTACGAAGACTTTCCCCAACAGTAGCCCCACTTCCTCCACTGTCTTGACTGTTAGCCTCTGTGTCCCGGGCCACGGGTTCACTCCTTTCGTCTTGCATTTGAACATCAAGATCAGTAGTTCTTTGGTTAACAGTCGCACTTCCACTGTCTAACCTCCCGCTCACGTCACGCCTTGTGCTCCCAACACCACCGTCATTGGGTGGCTCGGGTATCACTTCTGCAGGCTGCTCACCCAAAATATTCTGAGTCAGTTGCGGAGCTTCTCCAACAATGTTATGTGCAGCATTCATACCTCTTGCCTCTGCGGATTCCACGGCAGCAGAAGTGTTCAAATGCACTGGGGATTGGACTGCCACTGGTTCGGCACTGGGAACAAGTTGACGAAGCTGTTCAACGAACTGTTCTTCAATTGCTTGTGCTACAGCTGCAGCCTGTGCACCAGCTTGTGGTTGACCATCATCAGTCCAGCTACTCAAACGGCTCTCAGTCCGCCCACCTCGTCTACCCATCAGATATACTGGGTCCATTGGGAAATCTAGAAGAGGTGGTGCACCACCTAGTCCCCTCTCTCCAAAAAGCCCTTCCGCAGTATGTTCATTAATCATAGGCGCATCATACATGTAGAAGTGGGTAACATCAAGGGCTCCTCCACTAATTCCTCCAAGCATGGCCTCTGCATCCCGAACAATACTGCTGGTGCTAGGCCACAGCGAGTTGTTAGTGATTGTTGTACTTACACCTCCACCTGGGGTTGTGGAAGGCCTGGTAAGCAGAGGATGGTGGAAAGCACCACCACGCTCACCACCTGCTCGCTCCGGGAATGGTCGGTAAGTAGTTGTCCGTCGACGATCGCTGCCTCCAGGCCTTCGGAAAGTTCCAAACACATCATCCATGTTCATTCCCTGAAAAGGATCTCCTGGAAAATCGACTAAATTGCTGGCACCTGTATGCCCCAAGACCTATATTGCAAGTACACTGCTTAGAATTTGCCAAATCTAGACAACCAAGGTTAGCAATTGCGCAAATTGGATCAATTAAAAAGAAACAAATGGAATATAAATAAAACTTAACTATGACATTTACTTTAATGAGTCGCAAAGGTCCAATGTTCAATATCATTGAGGTCAAAAAGAGCACAATAGATCTGAAACGGGATGATAGTCATCTGTTTCTGTGAGGATTAATTTTCTATACGCAGCCCTAAAATCTTCAAGCATCCAATCCATGTCCAGAGCGCAAGTTCTTCCATGTTCGACATATTTTTCAAATGTCACTAACTAAAGAAAGATTCCATAAATGTTTACCTGAACATGGCTTAGCCCTGTCAGGCCATCACGCCACCTAACCTCAATAACCCGATCTTCAGGCCAATCATCCTCATCTTCATCCTCCTCCTGAACCATATCTTCATATTCATCACCCATGCCATTGTCTTCATGGTCCTCAACATCGGTGTCAGGTGGCGAAAGGTGCGGTACTCCTGCATCCATGAACATATCTTTGTAAATTCAGGACGAACCCAAATTTACAGGTGGTATTAACAAGCTGCCTGCAGAAGTTTGTGCGATCAAACTTCAAAAGGAAGTACTAAGCACATGCTATAAACACAACACAAAAGGTGCGACACACTCTGTATGCGGCTACAACCAATCGAAACAGGACAAACACTAAAACTATGATTTCCAATCAAACGACATATTTTCCCAAATGAGCAGCACAACTGTTCACTCCTTCAAAAGAATAATAATAACAGCGCAAATTCATGACTCGCACAAATGTTTCTATATTTCAGATTAATCCAGGAAAAAAGCTTTAGATTAATAAAGTAACGCAAGATCTTTTTTCTTTCACACGTTATTTATCTCCAAACCTCCAAAAATATATATATATATAAGGTCCACTGTTCCTAATGACATTAAGGCTACAAGGTAAAACATGACAATGAAGCCAAACCGAACAATAAAAAAATAGCATTAACAAAACAGGAAGTGCTTATGAAAAACATTGAGTTACCTTCATCACCATTCATGTCATCTTCATCTTCATCTTCTTCCTCTTCCTCTCCATCATCCTCACCCTCATCGCCATCCATATCCTCCTCATCTTCATCCTCCTCGTCCACGATCTCATCATCTGGCCCATGGTCCATCCTGTAATGCATAACAGCAGCAGCACCTTCAAGCTCGGCAGCATCCTCAGCTGCCTCACGCATGAACTCTTCCTCAGCTTCTGCTTCAAGGCAAGCCTGTAACAGACAACACTTCTGGGGTAAACAAACGATTCCTACACGACCATAAAATAACCATACCAGTAGAATTAAGTTGCTACCGTTATCATAAGACTAGAATCTACAAACACAAACTGACCAAATGCTTTTTATAAATAGGACCACGCAAAAAATGAACATTGATCATACATTCCGGGCAAAGCATTCACATACATCTTGGAACCTATCTGCAAATGCTGAAACATTCAAAACAAAATATTTCCACGTCGCAACTGCATAAGACTATAAAACGTAACATGCACCTCTTCTGCAGGATCTCGATCTGATCCGTCGTCATGCTCCATCTGCTCCTCGCGAGCAATTTCTGCACTGTCAACAAGTGAAAGGCCTACTTCTGGAATCGATGTATCTTGAGGTACGGAATCCCGCATTGTTTCATCCCTTGCCTGGGGCTGAACACCATCACCCGTTCTAGTTTCAGTCTCAGCATGGACAGTTTCGACTATCTGCTGTTCAGTGCTTTCTTCGATAGATTTCTTAGGTGCAGCTCCATCAGACCCATAAATTCGATCAGCCATGCTAGCTGCCCTTGTTAGAACCTCAAGAGCTTTTAATATAGAGTTCACCAGCTTGGGTGCATCAGGGTGGTCCAGGTCTATCACCTGCATCCAACATAGATGATAATTTCTCAGACCTTGCATTAAATTTCAGCTGAGCTTCAACCACGTTATTATCTGCGATCAACTGTCAAAATATTTCATCATTTACACAAGTATTTGTGTCAACTTTATGCTGCAGAAAAGAAGATATTTGATAACAAATACTAAGCGTGGTATAAGAAGATAAAGACGCAGGCATGATGTCCACCGAAAAGCACGATTCCATAAATCATACTTTAGTAAAGGCGGAAAGTAAACTGCATTACCTGAAGAGTACGAGTAAGTGCTTGCACCATACCCGCATCCATCATGGATTTGGCCATATCTTGTGAAAATACAGGGGGTTGAGCACTTCCAGCCGGAGAATGCGAAGAAAGAACTGAATTAACAAGATCCACAAATGCTCGCACTTTTCTGCTGGGAGACTTCAAAGGTTTCGAAACTTCAGAATCAAGCCCTGATGAAGGTGGTGAGGCTGATGTAAGAGCACGTGCTACCTCCACCACAACTCTCCTCCTACCTTCACCAGATCTTACACAAACAGCCATCACAAAACAGGCTGCCTTATCTGATAACTTATCCCTCCATTCATCTTCATTCAACTTGTCATTTGCCTTGTCGCCTGGATAAGGGAGCAACCTATGAAGAATGTGGTAGAGTAGACCCCCATGACCAACAGCATCTACACCACCCTGTGATGGACCTCTCCCTTGGCTGCTCTCGAGGTCCCTCCGAAGGACAACATTTACAGCCGAAGAGTACATAAAGATAATGTCAGTCATAAGCCTCAGTATAAATGTTACTTTAGCTAAAGCAGCTGAACTTTCTGACATATCTGAACCAGCTTCAGGTTTTGACCTTGCAAGATCTTCAACCTTGCCCTTCCCTTTGTCCTTCACTTCTGTGTAGTCGACGTCCATAGCAGAGCTAACATCCTTTGGTGACAAATCTTCATCCTTATTACGAAGCTGCTCGATAATGGCTGGAGGATAATGAAGAATAACATCAAGCAACTGCTCGATGACCAATGAGAAGCTGTGAGGTACAACCTTCTTGTGATGATGCCCTCTACCGCTCTTCCCAGATTCGTGAGCTTTTGTGCCTGTATCTAAGTCGGCACCCTTGGACTTCTCTGAAACCTTGTCTTGCCCTTTCTCCCTCTCCTTCTCCTTCTCTTTATCCTTCTCTTTCTCCTTTTCTTTGGCCAGTACAATTGTGGGACGACCACCGACTGTTTCTAATTGACAAACCACAGAAGCCGCTTGCATAAAAATAGCAGTGTCACGAGACACGACAGGAGCCATTGCAGTCAAGAACATCCGAGGGGAAACCCGACCATTGTGCCTCGATAGTGTTGCACCGAGTGTATGCTTAATTTCTGATTCCATAGCTTGCTGTAGTGTTTGAGGGTCTTCGAGGAGATGGCGGATGATAGCAGCTGCCACTGTATCAAATCCAGGAAATAAGCAGCTCCGTGGGAGATTCAAAAGGGCAGTCAAACCACCTAAAAAACATGAACGTTTTGTTAGTACATTTTCTTCCTCACCATACCCGACGCATATTCGTCTATTTACTTTCCAGTACTGAAAAGTTGACTTGGGTACTAATATTGCATTCCAGCATTTAAGAACATGAATGTCTGAACAAATAGAAGTTTAAGATTAATCAACTATATTGCATGAACTCACCTGAATCAAAGAAAGCAGCAGCAATAGGGTACGACTTAGTCAGCCGGGCACATAGCTGAAGCACTGCCTGCACTGTTGAGGACGGTAGCTGCATCTGGAGAAAACCAGTAGCCACGAACATTGCTCTTCTCAGCTCATCCTTCGTCATATATCCAGATGGTTTCCCGAGCACTGAAATGAATGGGCTTGAATTCAACTCGTTCTGCTCATTAAAAGCCTCAGCAAGTTGTACGCCTGCCGCAGGGGTACCAGAACTAACAGCCATGCTATTGCTACCAGCAGCCGTAGTCGCTGATCCACTTGGTTGGTCAGAAGAAAACTTGAGTTTACAGACCAGCATGTGATCCAGAACCAGCAAAAGCGCAGTAAGCCACTTAGGAATTTCGTCTTTCGGGGAAGTCTTCACTGGTCTAAATTGCTCAAGAATATCCAATGCAATAGAAACTACTCCATTCGCTGCTGCAATCTCTCTAGCTGTACTGTCTTCACTTAAAACTAGGGCAAGAGTGTGAGATATAGTTGATAATGGGCAAGTATCAGTCATTGCTCCCTCCACTTTACAACTTTTGAGCTGTTGAACCAAATAGGATACCACTTGCGGGCGGTCCTGCCCGTTGTTACGATTGCACATAGTAACCAACAGGTCTGTAACAGGGAAAGCAACAGAGTCTGAACTCTGAAGAAGATTCATGCATGTCAACAACATATCCTCAACTGGGGGAACTTCGCTAATTTCGTGATCGACAACGGGTCCTTTCTCCTGGTTGTCTACACCTGATTCTTCCTTAGGTGGAGCATCGCTACCCAGTGACAATGCTAATGCTCGTGCTAACTCATCATCTTCCTGCATATTTTTATCAGGATAGAGAAACCAGCGATTAGGAACAATCACGATATAACGGAAATAGATGAAATATAGAAAATAAAGCAATACAACAATCGCTAGTGTCGAAAAATAAGGACATATGCAGGTACAGGCTCTGACATTCAAAGAATATAAAGTTTCGAGAGTTACGGTTTGCGGAAACTAACCAAAAGATACTGTGTCACAGACCAATGAGCCGAAAACAAATAACCCTCCCCTAAAATATCTCAGGACTCCATTCACTCTTATACGCTATGATTTAGACGACAATATTTCGTGACTTTCTCAATGAAATCAAGCGATACAACCTGAAGTTAAACAAGAAAGCTCCCCATGTAGAATTATATTCAAAAGTCACTATAGAACTATACTCCAAATTTTCGACAAACAAATTACCTGGGCTGCCACCTCCGGATTGCTAAATAGCCACTCCACAGCCAGTTCTGTGCTGTTTTCTCCAACACGACGAAGTGCTTCTTCTGCCCTAGGGCGTGAAAAACCCATTTCCACAATCGACGAAATAGCTGATTCATCAGGAGGAGGCCCCGGCAGACGGGCCCCTGCGCTAGCGCCACCTCCAGGACGACTTATCTTTGTATCTCCAACACCTGTGTAGACGTGCGTGATGATAGAGGCTATTAATGTGATGAAGGTCGCACTACATTGTGCAAAGTGAGGATGATTCCACACGGGTAATATAACTTCCAAAACTTGAGCTTGCAAACTCCGAACAAAGGCCTCAGGATCCTTGGCTAGTGGCTCTGATGCACCAGCCACAGGCTGTAGCAATACTTGTGCCATTGAGGAAGGAGTCAACAACAGCGAGGAAGTAACAAGGTGCTCCATCAAACGGGCGTAGCTTCGCAATGTATCCATAAGCCAGGAATTGGCCGCTGATTTATCTTCAGGCCTTTCAGCCTTCGACTTTGCACTCTCACTTTCCATTGAGGAACCTCCAGAACTTTGAGGCAAAGTCCATAACAATTGGCTTGTGGCAGCAAAAGTTTTTAAGAGCTCTGTTATTGTTCCATGTCCATAGAGATTATTCAACAAGACAGTGTTGCAGGTTCTTCGTCTACTATCGAATACTACCGCCAAAACATCTTCCACTACTTTCCCCAAGTATCGACATTTCACTGAAACAGTGGATTCTAGTTCAGAACCCTCCCCATGCCCGCTGAAGCTAAGATTTTCACGAAGTAGCTTTGCGAGGGTTCCAGCAACCGTTTTAGCAGGACCTGATATAGACACAGTTTCCTCTCTTCTACGCGATGGCATTAACATGGCTTTTCCTAATGCCACATACAGACCCCGTGCAGCTGCTGTCAACCTGGTCATCATGTCATAGTTCATCGACTCGGGAGATTTCCGTTTGGCTGCATCTACAGCTGGAGAAGTCTCTGAAAGACCAGCAGCGCTCTCTGTATCAACATGAGTAGCATCTGCTTGGCGAGCCAATCGACCAAGACGAGCAATCTGAGTAAGAGCTTCAGTATTGGCTGCGTGTTCTCTGCGGGTCCTTCGGTGAGGTCCATCGTTTGCGTGCAGCACAGGTAAGAACTCGGGTTCAACACCCCAGTGAGAAGAAGGTCCGTTCCGGATCTGTACAGGATTTACATACCTAACCACCGGATAAGGCTCAGTCCCTTCCTCGCTTTCTCTCGTCGCTACTCCGACTCCTACACTAGCAGCGTCAGTGCTACCAACTTCAGATTCCTTCTTTGGCTCCACCTTTGCATCATCGACCAACGCTAGCTGCCATAGAACCTCCCTGTGAACCGTCCCAACATTGTTGAGTGCTTCCGCAGCTCCATCGCTCAATTGAGACATCATAGCGTTTGAGCTACGCACCAAGACTGAAGACAGAGACAAATAGCACTCTGCAGCAGACAGGGAACGAACAACTTTGTTTCTTACTCCGCTGTCTAGATCGGAAAGTTTTGTTCCTGATAGGAGTTTGAGCTGATCCAGTGTTGCCTGCATGAAGTACAGTTATTAGAACAAAAACAACGAGAAACAGTCTCCAGGCCACAATCGGACCACCTAAATAACATGATTACTGTGGTGAAACGAAACAATCTGAGAATAAAAAATTCAGAACGTGATTACAACCGCAAATCCAAGAAAATCAAGAAAGAAAAAAACCCGTGAGGATGGAAACATTTGCAAAATCACCTGCAAATGATCTTTGAGAGCATCACAAACTGCTCGGGTAAGTGCGGCTGAATGTTGTGGGGAGAATGCACGAAACGTAACAGACATGTTATGTGCTATAGAGGAGCCTCCGAAAGATACTGGTAAATGCGGAAGAGTATAAAGCTGTAGCAGAGCCTGGATTCCATTTTTCTCTATAAAGACACGACTGGTATCTGCATTCTGCAGTATTGTTTCCAACAGCCGCACAGCATTGTTTATACACTCGGGCAAGAAAGTTTCCAGATTGATATCGGCGCCAGAATCTTGCAGCTGCAGAGGAGAAACTGATGGTCTTGAAAGATGGTCTGCTGTAGTACTGGGTCTTTCCTCAACATCTGTATCCATCGGCACAGGTGCATCTACATTACCGGAATCAGAAGCATTTACAAGTACAGCCGGTTCACTTGGCGCACCACCAATAGCTGCAATGGTCTTTAAAATCTCGATACACATATCGATTCCCGGAACTCTCAGTGAAGGTGCATGTCGCAGCAGCTCATCCAGGCCTGAAGCTAAAGATCCAGGAGTGTCATTTGCAAGAGCTCGTAAATACACTTTCGATGTGAAAATTTTGACAAAACAACCAAGAGCATTCCGATCTTTAACTGCCTGCAGGCCTGAGTTATTCAAGCACAAGGCATCCAAGCTGTTTGGTATACATCCAACTGCTTCTGAAGACGGAAGCACACCAGACGTAATAGCATCTAGGAAGGCTGCCGGAAGCCCAGCAGCATCCAATGTAGCAAAGCAGGTCGGATCCTTGTGTATAAGATCACTCATGACTGATGCTGCCAACGAAAAAACACCGCCTCCAAACTCCTTCGCATGCCTGAAACCAAGTAGCCATGGGAAGAATCATAAACCAATAAGCAACAATCGAAAAAAAAAAACAAAAATAAAAACAATAAACAATAAATAACAAAAAAAAAAAAAAAAAACAAAACAAAACAAAACAAAACAAAACAAACAAACAAACAAACAAGAAGAAAAATACAACTGGCAGAGGACGCAAACAACCAGAAAACAGGCACTGCTGGTACGAACAGATTACCTAAAAATAGTTTGAAGGCAGTACGGCAAGGCGCTCTCTTCTGAAATGGGTAGCCTTGCAGAGTTTCCTGGAGCATAGGTGCCAAGAGCAATAGCACGTAACAATGCCTTCAGCAGTAACCTTTGGTGATAGGGTATAAGAGTCTCTGCTTGTCCTGTCACTTGCGCAGATTGAGAATCTACATCCTCATAGCCCAATTGATAAAGCGGAGTATAAGACATCGCAGTCTTGCCCTTGCTGCCCGCCTTTAACTCTTCTCTTTCGAACCTGACCCCCTCTTCTACACGCGATACTTCTACTTTTAACCTCGCAACGGTATCACCTAACCCACCCAAATCTCGGAACAGAGTGCCCGCTGGGTTGCTGTAGTCCATAAAAGCCTCCAATATATGTACAGCGGCACTAACCAAGTGTGTGTGTTGCGGATCCATATCCTTCAGAAGAGGAAGAAGAGTTGGAATCAACCCAGCCTCTCTTAAGGCAGCACATCCAGATGAGGATGAAACAAGAACAGTGACCAAGAAGAGAAGTGCTTCCACAAATGCAACAGAGCATCCAGACGATCCCTCCGTGATCGATCCAATGGCTTTCTGCATAAGGCTAGGTAGAATGCCACGGTGACCGCCTGCACTAATAACGCTCAACACATTCGTTTGTCGGGGCCTGTCCTGTGACTGGGCCGCCAACGCTAGAATTGCCAAAAGCCGGATATCTTCAGGAACAGTATCCTCGTATCGTAATACAGTCACTAATTCATCCACAAATTCTGGCTCATTTATGAAAAAAGCAGTAAGGTCTTCGTGATCGGGATTTGACTGAAGAAGTACCGTAAACGCGAGCAACCTTATGCGTATGTGCTGCCTCCTGGATTCAATGTTTGCAAATGCTCTAGCAAAACGAATGCGGGTAAGGAGAGAAAATCTAAGGTGAGAAGGCACTTGGTATTGATCGACTAACAGTTTGAGTAACTGAAGATCTCCCTCCGGTCGAAGATGAAGGTCCACAATGTGTATAACTTTAAGTCCAGGAGCGTTGGTCTCACCATGAGAGGAAGATGAATCAGATTCTGCATAAAACTCGAAGTGAACAGTAGACCCTAATTTACAAGCATTGGCATCACAGCCGTTATCCATAGCACACGCCAGTAAACCTAGTCCCTCTTCCTTGCCACCCCAGCCTTGTGACAAAGAGAACAAACAAGCATTGAGGGTTGCATCTCCTTGCCACCGCAAAGTCCGATTTGACTGAACAGGTTTCTTCACGGACGCTGCTAAGGTTTGCAAAGCTGCAATAACTATGTCCGGATCCGTTGAAGCAAATAGCAATGACACATGCTGCCACCAGCCCAACATCCCAAACCGTTTGTGTTATCAGTTTCACAATAATGCAGGCACCGATTACTACTCAACAGATGAAAGAACTAAAAAAAGAAGTTCAGAGGGTGCGACATAAATTCGGCAAAGTACAAGGCATTTGAATTAGAATCATCACAGATACTTGTACACATACGTAGAATCCACACCCATGGAACTAAATTCTCTACCATGCACTATCCTAACAGATGTTGATGATGTTGTCAGCAACAATTAATACACAAAAATCAAACTAGTTCAAAGAGGAGGAGAGAATTGTTGCATGACAGCATATAGTACCTCATTACTATTATAAAGGTATTTGTTCACGCAGTTTTCTAATATGATGCGTGTGACCCTGAGAACTTGCAGTACAGCTTCTTTGGGAAATGGACCATCCCCATCCAAAAAATCGCCTTCCAATTGCAAGTCCTTTCTTGACTTTACATGCTGTTCAAAGAAGAGCTCAAAGTGATTGAACAGGTCCACCCAATGATGAAACTCCCCCTGCATAGTAAGAGCATCAAGCATGAATAGATTGTAAACACAGAAAAAGACAAATTGATTTTTATGACAACTGAGCAAACAAATACGAATGTAGATGAATGAGCCATACCTTTTCGTAATCCCAACTAAACCTCCTGAGAGGCACATCGATATTTTCCAATGGCGTATTTACGACAGTACTGATGAAAGCCTTCACTTTCGGAGGCTGTCACACCAACGCAAAGGAAACAAGAAATGAGCAAACGACAAGTCCTGAAGTACGGCTTAAGAACAAAATAAAAATGTTTAAGTCAAGCCGACCTGGTAAGCTTCCCATTCATGATAACAAATCGAGATTGATCAATATGGTGATTGAACTAATTGAAACCAACCCCTAGATAAGCATCAGAAATAGCTACGACAGGTTCTCCAACCCGTAAACGAAGCGCATGTCAAAACCCTAAAAGAAAGGGGGGCTGCAAAGATATGTCTATCACACACGAGTTGCCTAATCGTTGGAATATTATCGTTTCAGCACAGGACTGAATGCGTGTATGTAAGGTCAGACACGTTTTGCAAACAATGAAAGAATTCACATGACTCCTAAGATCTCTCATACTAATAAGAGCTGTGGAACCCTGCAAATCCCCGATCGACAAGTGCACAAGACCTCGGAAGACAGACGCCTGGTCCACTGAATGCAATGGCAAACGTTGGTAGCTTACGACCATTGTTTTCGATGCAACAAGAACCAAAACGACAAGTATTTTCAGTGCTAATAAAGAGAACGAACAATGCATAGAAATTGCGAAGACTCATATCCACGCAATTAACAAAGATCCCCCATAACACATATTAAAGACTTCGCAACCACAATTGTACTGCGTTGAAATTCTTGGTCGCAATTCTCAACCTAAAATGGTCGCACAAGAGACCTCAAACAAATTCATGTGCTCTCAAAGAATAGAGGGCACTCACTATTGCGATGCAGTTCACACTACAATTGGCTAACACATCGGGCATTTTTTCTAATACGTTCACAACTGAACATTATTGAGTGTGCGGAACAAATTGGGCTGGCAAGAGTAGATACGCGCAACTTCCAATTATTCTCCAAACGTAGTGTCATTGCCTTCCATCCCAGACCCAGAGCTAATACGAAGGTGCTCAAACAGATCTAAATTACTTAAACACGCTCTCACCAACCTGCCACGGCTAGCGCCAAGTAGCATCGTAACACACGAGGAAAACGCACAGCGAGAGAAAGAGCGTCATCGAAGCTAACTTGTGCACTTTAACTCGCGAAAAAGTCAGACTTCGAGAATGAGGCAGTCCAATAAAACGCACAGAGCAAACCAAAATATCCCAAAACCTAGCAAATTTTCAATCTCAGTTTGGCGGCACCGAGACATATTTCGCGCCATCATCACACAGAATTCACAGCAACCCCGTACGTAGCTCACAATCTAACGCAAGCCAAATCATCCAAATAACAAAGGCATCGATTTCCAAATCTTCACATCAGTGACCCGATAGCACCCACGATTTTTTTTCTTTTTCTTTTTTTTTCTTTTTTTTTCCTGTTTTTGTTTTCCAATCAGCTACACACACACACTCTTCTCCCTGCTCTCCATCACCTCTCAAAACCCTAGCAGTCTGACACACACATCCCGATGCCAATTCCCCCACTCTCTCCGCAATCTAACGTCCTACCACATACTCCGACACCCTGTCCAATACCGCCCCCTCATCAAACCACAACTTCCACACCTCCCCTCGAAACCCAAACCCAGACCACACTGAACTTACCGGCTCAACGCCCCGCTTCTTCTTCACCTTCATGTCGGCCAAGTTGCTACCCCAAACCGCTTACACCACCACCTATCTACCACGCATGTCAATGATCCCTCGCTTACACCGTCCCCTCTCACAACTCCACCCCCCCCTCCGCTCGCTCTGTCTCTCCCCCCTCCCCCCCACACGAGGGTTTGCTTTTCTTATCGCCTCCCTAGTCCCCCTCCCGCACTGCCTCGTGACGTTCGCTCTCTATCTCCGATGCGCTAACAAATTGCCGTCCTTTAGCGAGCATCTCCTTTTCTCTCTCCCTCCCTCCCCTCTCTCGCTCGACGTGTCTGCTGCTCGCAAGAAAGAAAGAAAAAGAGGATGAAAGAGACGAGCCCCGGCGATGTGCTGAGGCAGCCCAGACGGCTGAGCGATGCAGGATGGACGAAGAAGAAGAAGAAGGAGGAAATGAAGGAAGGAAGGAAGCAAGCAACTGAGCTTCTGGAGCCCTCCCTGACGTTGGCGTAGGAGTTTTTAGCTTTCTAAGCGATGCCTCGCCAGTCCGTGTACACGACGACAACGACGACGACGACGACTGCATGACACACACACTCTCTCTCGCTCTCTCTCTCTCTCCGCAGCTCTCGCTTCCTCCTAACAGAAGAAGAAAAGGAAAGAAAAGAGCCAGACGCAGACGACGAATTCTCCGCCCCTGCCCCCCTCTTTTTCTTTCTCCACCCTTCTTCTTTTTCTCACCGTTTTCGCGTTTTCTTTTCCTCATCGTCATTCTCTGATTTTGTATTCAATAGAGATCTTTTTTGCAACCCTTTCTTTCTCTGTTGTTGATTTCCTTCCGGAAACTTCATGTTCTCATGAGTAGTAGTAGTCATGGTGGTCTTATTATCATCCGTGTTCACACCAAATGTGCTTGCTCCTCTTCTTATGTAGAGTTTTCTCCTACCTTCTTCACAGAATATACTCCACAACGCATGAGATCTTATTTCAATGGGTCCTCTGACGAACACCATCTACTGTCCGTGCATTCTCTCTGTGTGTAGGGACTCTACTTCATGTATCACCTACTTATGAACGAATCCCATCTTTGGTTTTCCTTTTCTCTTTCCGATGCATAGTGATTAGACATCGTTGCTTCCCCAGAAACCCTATATTCCAAGATGTTCCCATATCCTCACATTTTCCATGTAAACATCTTTGATGTTAAAGAATGTGATTTCAAAATCTTTTTCTATGCAACATGTTGTTTCTGATTTTTTGAGTCATGATTTTGCGTGTATCCAAAGGCATGCATTGTACGTGACATTATGCGACCCAATAATATTTATCAGTATTATTTCTTTTCTAAGTTCTTCACATGTTTGAAATTTTAAAGAGCACCCAAAGTATGGTAGTGTCATACAAAGTCATCAACAAAACTGGCCAATACAGCTGCAGATTCAAAAGTTTAAGTATATTACAAATATGAGTTGTCGGCTATATTCACTTGATATCATGTATTTGAATAATTTTGATTGTAAAATTTTAACTTTATTTTTTGGTTTTTGACTGTAAAATAAACAGGGTGATTGTGTGTGTTTTATGATTACAGTATTTATTCAGTAATACTACAATAGCATTTACAAGTGTTCCATTTAAAATTGATAAGAAATTTATCACCAAACATTTCCAGGCAAGCCTACATAGACATAAAATCCAGTTTGATGTTTGTATTTAAAATTATGATTTCTACATAAAGCACAATTATATGCATGGAACTGACAAGAAACATTGGTTATTTTAAAAACCAAACTATAATTTTTAAAAAGAAAACCTTTCAAATTTGACCTCAAATATTATAAAATGCAATTGATTTCTTTATATTGCAATATACTTGTAATTTGTATATGCATATTAATATCTATTATCTATATATATATATATATATGCATACATAAAAGTAAGTAGCAAACTTGTATTTTTATGTTTTATATCATTATTTTTTTTTTTCTTTATTTCATTAAAAATTAAATTTTTTTAAACACAAATATACTAACAAAGCTTTTAATTATTTAATTTTGAAAAATGACTTCCTGATTTGCCAACAAAGAATTTAATAGAATATTTTTAAAATATTCTTATAGGATGTCCATAATATCACTTCGTCTTTTAACTCTGAATTCAACGAGGAATATTGGTTTCATATCTACTTTCTTTTTTATATACAATATCCTAGCAATAGCTTCCTAAAAAAGTCATCTTAAAATAAGTCTAGATTTTTAAGGATAGCATCAATAAAACTCTTGTACCTTTTGTAGCACCTTAACTAAATCCTTGGCTAGTTTCCACATAAGCTTATTAATATCGTAGTTGTGCCAATGAATAAAATACTCCAACATGCCTCTTCTTTATTGAGAATAAATAATCTTTTTCACTTCACCTCATATTCTATATGATTATCTATTTCAATGATAGGCAATGATGGTTGTATTTTCTTGAAATAATTGATTTTGAATAAACTTTTAAGAAAGAAAATAAAATACTAGATATACCTTCATAGATGTGGATAGTTCTAATTGATAAGCCATTGGATTGATTTGCTTGTGAATACAAAATAGCCCCAGTCTTCAGTAGTCCAATTTATCTTAATGTTGATTGGTCTTGATATTTTGTCAAAGAAGCTATACTTTATTTCCAACTTGAGAAGCAATGGATTCTTTTCTAAATTTGTTTGAAAAAGCTTTGTAAAAATCTTGAGCTACTTGTAAATAGAGCTTCAAAGTTGTCTGAAATTATGACAATTATGTTGTAAGATCTTCAATTGTTGGATTTTCATCCTTTGATGTATTCAACAAATCAAACTTCTGATGATAATCATAATTAGCATAAAATGACATTTGCTAAGTTGAAGCATGAAGAACATTATTACAAGCAAACTCCACAAAAGATAATTATAAGATCCAATCATCTTCTTGATAGTTGATGGTATATTATAAATATTGCTCTAAAACTTCATTGACTTATTTTGTTTGACTATTAGTTTGAAGGTGGAAGGTACAAACAAGTTTGATATCCATCTTTAATATTTCAAAAAAAGATTATAAATTGAGGTATTCAATTAGAAATGATATCATCAAGTAGGCTATGATATTGATATATATCATCAAGAAAGAGCCTTGCTATTTTTTTTCCAAAAATTATTGTTTTGCATAGGACAAAATGTGCCATCGTTGTAAGTTGATCTATAACAATGTAAATAACATCAAATGTAATTAATGGCAACAAATCAATAATAAAATCCATTGATATTAAAGACCATGGCCACTTTGAAATTTGTAGTGGTTGTAAAAGTACATAAAGACATTGGCGAGATTTCTTAAAACTTGAACAAATGTCAAATAAGAAGATAAAGTTCTTCACAATCTTCTACATTTGAAGCCACCAAAATTCTTGAGAGATAAGTTCCAATGTTTTCTTAAACCTAAAATGTCTCTCAGTTTAAAAATCATGACGAGATTGAGAAACAAGAATTCTTATTGGCCTTACTCAAAAATATAAACGAACTTTAAAATACAAAAGATCTTCAACAAATCTAAACTTGTTGTTATTAGAGCACTACTTAATATTATGAATAAATGAATTCTTAGCTAATGTTGTATGAATTTGTTCAAAAAACTTAAATAAAAAAGTTAACTATAGAAAGAACATAAAGATAAAATTGTTCTAGCTTTAAGAAAGTAATATATTACTAATCAAATGTTACTTATCTGACTTTTGGAGCAAGATATAATTTTTTTGATAAAACATTTGATAGTCTTTACTGCTTCCTTAATCAATATGTAATTACAAAATCAAAACAAGATAATGACATGTTCCAATAAGCTTAGGAATAATTCAAAATCCAAACTGATTTAAAATATTCCAAATTTTTGTGATCTATATATACAATTACAAGGTATGTAGCACCTTCCAACAAATAATACCATTCTTGGAAAGAATCTACAATTGCAAGAAGTTTTTTATTAAGAATCTAATAATTAATTTTTATTCTTGAATTTTTTTTTAGAATAGTACTTAATTTGGTAAAATTTCTATCATTTTTTATTTATTTATGATAGTACAGCTTCTAATACAAATTTAGAAGAATTAGTTTCCAAATAGAAGGCCTTCATGAAATTTCATGCAATAAAATTGGAGATATAATAAAAATTACCTTCAAATCTTAAAAAGCCCTTGGTCTTTAAGATTCCCATTTCAATTTCTCTTAAGATATCAATTGAATAAAAGAAGGAGTAACTTGAAAGTAATTCTTGATAAATATCTAATAGAAATTAGTAAATCCAAAGAAACACAATACATCTTATATTATCTTTGGAATTCTCTACTTTATTACAACTTAATTTTTTTTTAAGTCCATCAATAAGCCTTTATTGGATATAATATATCCAATAAATTATACTTTTGATTGATAGAATATATATTCCTTCAATCTAGCATATAATCCTACATCTCGTAACTTTTGCAAGACTAATCTCACATATTTTTCATATTTTTCAAGAATCTTGGAGTAAATTAAGATATCTTTAAGATAATAAATAATAAACTTATGTAGAAATTATCAAAAAATATCATCCATCAATTTTTAGAATATAACTAGAACATTTGTCAATCCAAAAAGCATGTCATTGTATTCAAAATGTTCCTATATTGTCCAAAATATTATTTTCCATTCATCTCCTTCTTTAATTCGTACTAAATTGTGTGCTCTAAGGAAATCTATTTTGGTGTGGATCTTTATTTAATTAAGTTGCTCCAAAAGCCATGATATCAATAGTAATGGATAACAATTCTTGACCGTTATTTTATTAAGACTACCATAATCAATATATGTTCAAAAATATCCATCTTTTATTTTAACAAAAAATTATTTTTATACTCTATAGAAGTTTGAAATACTAAATAAAGGTCTTTGTAAAATTTTCATCAATATAATCTTTCAATTCCAAAAGTTCGTTTTGTAATAGGTTGTAGATTGGATCAAATGGTAGTTGAACTCTTTCTTGAAGATTAATGGTACAACCTTATGGTTGATGCTTTGGCAATATGTTAGCATTTTTTTTTTCAAAGACATCTTGAAACTTCTTATATTGCTCAAGAATAGCTACTAAGAAGC